CCTTTTGTTACCAAGGTTTTAAGGACCAAAGAGGATTACAACGCCCACGGAAACGGATTGCGTCCAGATAAGCACAAAATTGTGTCTGATGCATCTTCCAACACTCGAATTCCAGCTACACTTGCTGGTTATGAACGCAACTACTGAACACCATTTTGATCCATAGCAAAACAGTTTGATCTTCGTTTATTTGTAGTGTAGAAACTTGATGCATTCTTAAGCTTTTATAGGGCAAGCGTGTGCGAAGGGAAACAACTCCCAGGAAAAACACTTTCCTTTTCTTTTTTTTTCATCTGATTCTTCGTCTGAAAATCAGACGAATCCAACCAGCTCCAACCAGCTGCTCAAAGCATGCGATCCAATAAGCCAGACAGTAGGGCATGCATGTGAGTTGGCCTGCGTAATCTCCATTTCCCGGTGGCTGTCTTGCACGGTTAAGGAAACCTTTTCAAAAATCTAAAGGCTGAAGATAACAGGTGTTAGAACCCAGCGACAAGTAAAAGATCCACACCTGATTCCGATGTAACTCTCGAACCACCCTCGTCCTACCCCAGCCGTTAAGCTGGAAGAGACAAATGGTACGTGAAAATTCAGTCGGGCATCATAAAGAATGTCTACTCCACCACCCTGGTACCCCGTGTCAAATGCTCGACCTGTAGCAGCACCAGACATAAACAATCATACAAAATTGCTGTTGCTATCTGTATGGCTTGTTGTGGACGGTAGTCCTTGTACTGCTGCACCTCTTCCGCTCTCATCCATGTACACTGATTGAACTGTGTCAGTTATCTCGCATTTTCTTCCATATTGTATCGCTCTTCCTCCTGGTTTCCTCATGGTTGCTAGTGTATGACTGTGATAATCGTCTTGTGCTGGATGATTTTTCTGCACAAAGAATGCTTGTTTCCGTGTCTTGTATGCTAGAAGTTGATGTTGTGTAATCCAGAAACACAAAAGTCAAGTGTAAGCCTTTTTTTTATGCAGGTTCCAAATGATTGTAATTCAGCAGAGCAATATTTCTATCTACCAAGTAGAGTAATGGGAACTATTGCAAACCATCGTTGAAGAGCTGTAATATTTAAAAATTACGATGCAAAAGCCAGTGCTACTTTTTCAAAGCTAAGAAATTGGTTCCCTTTCAACAAAGTTTGCTGCTGGGTTTTGCCTTTAAAGCAGAAGCTGGTGTGCCAAATCCAAACCCTTCACACTCACCCGAGGAGAGGAACTATGTCATGTGGTCTGTTACACAGGTGGAGCTCGTCCATACGTACATGGACTTCCTCTTCCATGGGGGCTGCTATCTGGTTCGGCTGGATGAGCTGTATTATTTGGATTTATTTAGTTTATTTTCTGGCAATTTGAAATTTTTTTTATACCATCAAATTAATGATGAGAGGACCATAGTATAGATTAAAACTTTTTTCTCAATCTATTTTTTAATATCTGTAAGACATGATGTTTTTCCTTTTTCTCAATCTCATTTTAATATTTGTCATGCTCATTGAATAGCCCACCGCTTGATAAGACTTATCATTCCGTTCAGCTGTTGAATCTGTAATAATAACAAATACAGCTCAAAAAATACAAAATCATCTGAGAGGGATTAGAGGAAGATCAAGTACATTCTTTTGGGTTTTCAGCAACTGCCATTTTTAGATGTGCCTCCGCTCTGAAATGGAAATTTAAAGTCAGAAATAGATACAATTCATACGTACTTCAGTGATAGTTCCCTCAATGTAGCTAGTTTAGGAAAGTCATGTATTGGCTGAGCATCTTTCAGTGTGGAGGTGATCTCAGTGTCTATTTTTTTTCTAAATAGAAACTCTGCCATTTGTGATTTTACATTCTGGAAATCATCAGATTTTGAGTTAGCTTAAATTTAATTTATGTTTCTCACAAATTTACACCAAATACCTTATCTATTTCATTAACAAAGTGAGATTCCGATGCCTTTGTTGCTTTTCTTTGAAAATGTTTGGTGTCCTCGCAATCTTAGGACAATGATTAGCATTGTGAATATATTTTAGCAAAGAAACATCATTCTTGTGTTAAAATGTTCTACCGTGAAGATGTTCTATTTGTTGTTCATTCTGAAATTGGTATAAAGTTTTTTCTTTATGCGTCATGTTTTTTTTCTCGGTAGCAAAAGCAACATCAGCAACTAGTCTATCAATCTGCTTTTTCTGAAAGTCCTTCCTGTGTAGAAAAAGAACTTAATAAAAAGGTATAAACAAGCAAGCCAACCATAATCTTTTCTGCATTATTTGCAGTTGATACTCTAATTGTTGAACAATAGGTGTTCTTTCAAATCCTTGTTTATCATGAGTGGGCGCCACAAAGTTTGCTTCCAAAACTCCTAAATAATGTTAAAGAATGTATCAAAGATCAATAGTAGAATAGTAAAACTTGCCATAGACACCTCGCCCTTGTTTTCATGATGAATTCCATATTTTCCAAAAGGGCTGTCATATATTAAATGAGAAAAATGATCTTTTTGAATGATTGGTTACCTTAATAAGTCGGTTTTTGTGGTAGACATTAAATCCTTGTATATCTA